ATCCATTCATGGGTCGATGTAAACTGGGCTTCTTCCATGACTTGGCTATTATGAATTGAGCTGCAATGAACAATCTGGTGCAAATATCTTTGTTATAAAGTGATTTTTGGTCTTTTGGATATACACCTAGTAGAGGAATTGCAGGATCAAACGGCAGGTCTACTTTTAGAACCCTGAGTACTCTCCATACTTCTTTCCAAAAGGGACATATTAGCTTGCACTCCCACCAGCAGTGCCGGAGTGTTCTCTTTCCTCCACATCTATGCCAACATCTGTAGCTATGGGATTTTGTTATGTGAACCACTCTTATGGGAGTTAGATGATATCTCAAAGCAGTTTTGATTTTCATTTCTCTGATGATTAAAGATGATGAGTATTTTTTCATGTGTCTGTAGGCCATGCACCTATCATCTTCAGAGAAGCTTCTGTTCAAGTCCCTTGCCCACAATGAAATGGGATTACTTGTCCTTTTCTTATTAATAAGTTTGAGTTCTCTGTGGATTCTGGTTACCAAACCTTTGTCAGAAGCATAACCTGCAAATATCCTCTCCCATTCTGAGGGCTCACTAGTAAACAATCAATGGGTAAAACAAGAAATTATAAATGAAATTCAAAAATATTTTGAGAAGAGCAAAATAAAAACTTACAGCTATACATTTCCCTCTGGGCACTGCTTTTGAGGTACCCCACAATTTTTGATATGCCAAGTTTTTATTTCTTCTTGTACCCATTGATCATTTACTAGTGTGCTTTTTAATTTCCACATATTTGTGAATTTGTTGGTTTTTGTTCTGTTGCTTATTTCTAGTTTCATTCCATTGTGGAGAAGATACTTTGAATAGTGATCTCATTAATTTATTTTTGTTTGTTTGGCAGTTGAACATACAGTCATATGCATTTGAGAAAAAAATGTAGATTTTTTGTTGGATGGAATGTTCTATATTTCCATTAGAATTAGTTGCATTATAGTGTTATTCAAATCCTCTATTTTTCTTATTGATCTTTTGTCCAGTTGTTCTATTTATTATTGAAAATGGGATATTGACACCTTCAAATATCATTAGAGTTCTGTCTTTTTCTGCCTCCAGTTCTTTTAGTTTTTGCCTCCTGTATTTGTTGGTCTCTGTTGTTAGGTACATATATGTTTATAATTGTTATATTTTCTTAGTGGTTTTAAACTTTTTTCAATGAATAATGCTCTTATTAAACTTTACGTCACTCCAGCTCTCTTTTGTTTACTATTTGCAATGAAAACATTCCATCTTTTTACTTTCAATATACGGATGTCCTTAGATCTAAAGTGAGTCTCTTATTGACAAAATATATGTAGATCATATATTTTCATTCACTTTGCTGGTCTCTGCTTTTTAACTGGCGGATTTAATTCATTCACATTTAAAATAATTGCAGTTAAGAAAGGAGGTACTTTCAGGATATTGTGTATGATATATATCATATCATTTTCTCTGTTATTGCCTTAATTTGTGATTAATTGATATTTGTAAGGTGTTATTTGATTTCTTTTTTTATTTCTTTTTTTGTACCTCATTTTAGTTTTTTTCTTAGTGGTTAAACAGGATATTATAATTGTTATCTTTCTTTTATAACAGTCAACTTTAATTATATACACTTAGTTTCAATCATATACAAAAATTTTGTTTCTTTACATCTTTTTACCCTTTTATATTGTTATTTTTACAAATTTTATCTTTATAAATCTGCTGCTCATTAACTAGATTTATAATTATTTTTCATTCATTTGCCTTTTACATGAAATGGAAAATCAAAAGAAGATTAACAAATCAATAATAGAATTCTACTGGATTTTGTATTTGACTTCGTAGATAGCTTTGTTCCTCTTTTCTTCATATGCTTTTGTAGTGTCTGGCATCCTTTCATTTCATCCTGAAGGATTCTGTTTAAAAATTTCTTTAAGATAGGGCCATTAGTGATGAACTCCTTCAGTTTTTATTTAACAGAGAATGTTTCAATTTCCTTATTTTTGAAGGATAGTTTTGCCAGGTAAAAAGTATTTTTCTGGAAG